TAGGAACTTTTATCCTTCTTGTTGTAATGAGGTTGCTGAGAGTAAAAATCATTCTCCTTACCAAGAGACGAATACGTTTGGTGACTTAACAAGTATCTAAATGAGGTAGGAGAGAATGCAATGGGTGTCTTAATGGCCAAGATATCCTCACTTGGTAGAACTTGACTTCCACTTCCCACTTGTTGATAATGGTTAACCATATGGAGGTTCCCTTGGTATGTCCTTACCTCGGCAAATGCATGATTGTAAGCTTGCATCATTACCTCAGAGTAAGTCTTCCAAGTGTTAGCATTCATCGTGCACTTGAAGAAGCATTCATGCATGCCTACCGTGAAGGCCTTGAGTGCTATTTTATCATCTGCCTCAGCACAAAGAGAGTACTCATAGCAGAAGCGACTCGCATATTCACACAATGACTCATTTGATTTATGACGAATAGTGTATAACTTATCAGCGGAGTGTACACGATCAGCTTAGAAGATGTGTTGAGCCCTGAAAAGTCTCATTAACTCAGCGAAGGAATCCACAATATTAGGTTGAAGACAACAAACCAATTGAGAGCTCCACTAGAGAGAGTTGAAGGGAATATGAGACATCGTTCTTCATCATTGTGTCTTCGGTATGCCATGGTAGATTTAAGAGGTATATATGCTCAATCAGATCTTCCCTCCCAGTATAAGATTGCAAGCCAAGCTTCTGTTTTGTTTCTCCTTGTAGAGAGGTTCAAAGGATTCTCTTTGTCAGAAGGTCGAGCCTTGGTTGATCCCAGCCAGAGATTTGGGCATGACGCTCGACCTTTAGCCTGTTCACCTATTCAAGGAGATGCAGGATAAGAGGGTCTTGAGTGGAGTAAGGTATCATTAGAACTCTCATTCGCAAGTTTTCCTCATCCCTTGAAAGTATGGAAGTTTGGTAAAAGGCATGTGGCTTTTTCTTAGATTCACTATATTGGCTTTCAAGATGTGCCGTTTGGAAGTCCCCCGAGTCTCTTTCACCTTCTAGTCCCTCTAAGGCATATGGTTCATTTCTTGGATTAGGCGTTGGCCTACGTTATGGTAGAGGATCGAGCCCTTCAATGACTCTTGGGTCTTTGACCCTTGAGCCTATGTGGATAGAATTTTCTCGACGTTGTCTTAGGAAGTCTCGACAGTCACGGTAAACGGCTCTTGATCTTTCCATTCCTTCTGCAAGAATGTGTCTTCCTCCACTTCTCCTACTTCGAGTCGAAGCAGCTGGGTTGAGAGAAGTCTTATGTTGATTGACATTTCGATGAGTAGCTCACTCATCGTCAGGAATAACCATGTCGAAGGCAGGTGACTCTTCGTGTTGGGGGCACCTAGTTAATGGTTGACTTCCACGGGGGTGATCAGCTCGTGTGTTTGAGTATGCCTAGCCTTATGAAGCATCTCAAAGAGCTTATCATACTACTATTGGAAGACCTTGTTCTTCATTGCTATCTTGTTGTTCTGAGCCTCTAGCTCATCTACTTTAGCCTAAAGAGCAAACTTCTTTCGTTCATTCTTTCGTTGCTTCGCACTAGGTGCAAATGGGGTGTCGTTCTGCGTGATGTGGCTTCATTTCCTCCCCATGTTGGAGAGGGATGCCTGGTCAAAAGAGAGTGTACAAATGGTGGAAACTAGCTTGACAAAGCTGAAGAGAGTAGGAATAAGTGCGTTTCCCACAGACGGCGCCAAATGTTGATGCACGAAATCGATAAGGACTTTGGTACAACAGAAAGTGTCAAGTTTGTGAGCTTCGCTAGATTGCTCCAATCACTAGTGTGGATAAGTATGCAAATGGATAGAGACAGGGAAGCAAACACAAGATAGACATGGTTCATCCAGATTGGTTACGTCCACGGAGTAGAGGAGTTCTCATTAATTATGAAGGGTTTACACAAGTACATAGGTTCAAGCTGTCCTTTAGTGAGTACTAGTGAATGATTTAGTACAAATGACATTAGGAAATATTGTGAGAGAATGATATCCTTTTATAGAAGAGAGTCTCTAGCTTTGTTCTGACTTTGACACGTGTCGTGCTGTGATTGGCTTCTGATGTTGACACGTGTCTCGCTATGATTGGCCTCTGATGTCGACACGTGTTGTGCTGTGATTGGTATCCTGGTTGGAAGGAAACTTTTGTGGATCCTTGACGGTATAACGTTGACCGGTGCTCAGTAGTTTCGGGATTTGTCAAGTATGGTACAAGCACATTTCTTAAACTTTTGTAGTTTACAACGCATAATCTATAAAAGAAAATGAGGAGACAAGATTGATTTGTACTAAAATAATATTGTACCGGCAAAGTCACATCTCATAACCTATTTTGGGAGAGGTTTTATTTGTTTGCAAGTAAAACAAGTAGATGTTTTTAACCTTTTACCCTCCAAAACAAGTTCAAGAACGTTCTACTAGTTAGTACAATAATAGTAAGGTGAAGTGCTGATTTAGTCTCTGAATTATTACATCAATGAAAATTAGGTCCCTGAATTATTTTTCAGTAAAATAAGTCCTTAAAGTCATTAAGAATTGCTAATTTTATCCCTACTACTATATTAAAAACTATTTTGTCCACTTTTTTGTCAACTTAAGTCACTTGATACACTATAAAATGTAATACCGTCGTTTTCTTGCATATAAGCCCTTAACATTTTATACAGGTTGCGAATCTAAAGTTTAATTTTTACCCTCCAAAGTTAACTTCATACACTATTTCTTTATGTAAAATTACTAATCTACCCTCTAATGTATATCACATGCAAGTACCTTGACTTAAGTTGACAGAAAATTGAATATAATAACTTCGAATCTAATATTAGGGATGTAATTGACAGATTTTTATAATTCAATGACTGATTTTCATATAAAAAAAATTAGGAACCTAATTTTCACTCAGATGATTATTCAGGAACTAAATTAGCAGTTCATCCATAATAATAATGTTTAAAAGTGGTCCAATGTTAGTTGTGTACAAATCATGTGGTGGTTGGTTGGGGAAAATATTTATATTTCGACAAGCAAACCATTTTTGAGGAATGATGTAATCATAATTTTTTAATTTAAATGGACGTGCACGGCCTTTTGTTTTCTTTTTTGATAGACATGAGGCGTGTGGGGATTCTGCCTTGCTATTTAAATTACGGTGTGCTTGTAGTTCATTTCATTTATTAGTGAAATATTTAGTTTTAAATTTGGTGAACGAATCAGTCGAATTAAATTATTATAATTGACCTATTGTGTGACTTGAACCTATATCATCATTTTTTGTGTAAATTATATCATTATAATATTTTTTTTAAAGTCATGCTGCTTTATAACAGTTTGAATACCTGGAAAAAATCATTTACCTCTACCTTCATCTTTATGTATCTGGAATTTTATGAGTTATCTATTACAATCCTGGAAACCAAACAAGCTTAAGAAACAAAGAATCGGAATATTTAAACTTAGGACCTTGGATACAAAAGTTCATATTCTTAATCACTTGAGCTACAGTTTCTTTGTTAAACTTTTGTAGTTTAGAATGCATAATCTAATAAAAGCTTTATTTACAGAACAAAAGAAAGAAAATGAGGAGACAAGTTTGATTTGTACTAAATAATAAAGGTGTGATATTCACACACTATGTTTTCACTTCTCATACATCCTCTTAATGCTTAAAGGTGGTCCAATATTTATATTTTCAATTTAAATGAGACTGTGGAGCTTTTTTCTTTCTTTCTTTTTTGATACAGACATGAGACGTGTGGGGCTTATCAAAAGAGTCATTCTTCTTTGTTATTTAATTCACAGTCTAGTTGTATTATGTTTTATTACTAATATATATAGGTTTAAATCTTGTTGACTAATAGAGCGGAACCAAATCATTATAGTTAATGTATTGTGTGATTTAAACCTATTTTCATCATCTTTAGTGTAAATTCTATCGTTATAATTTTTTTCTTTGTTTTTTTTGGAAGTCATGCTGCTTTATAACAGTTGAATACAATATTGCAATAGTGCGAATAGTTTCGGGGGAGACTAATAGGGAAACTTTTGTTGAATTCAAGGATATAAAATGATGGAATTTTTGTTCTAGGACATATTCTAAAGTCGGGTGCAAGTTCAAGAATGAATTCTCATTTTCACCTTTTTAAATCTTTCTTTGCTTATAAAAACAGATGAATACTTGTATTATGCAGAAAGATTTACAATATATGAAGCTATCGATTGAAATGTAATGTAAATATTGTTTAAGTGCAAATGTATTTGTTGGTAAATTCAAGTTGTTAGGATTTAATGTGAGCCATTGGATCATAGTCCTTTTGGTTTCTTAGATTAGATTTCATTGAGTCATAGCTCATGACAAGTGTAATCACCCTCATAAAATAGCTTAAGAGTGAATGTCTAGGATGATTTTGTATGATGTGATAGAGTGAGAGAGTGTGGTGCTCCTCCTCTAACGGTAACATGTTCTTTGCATGCATATTGGATTATTAGTCCATATGATGATAGGATAGTTGGAAGATAGCTCATGTGGTAAAAAAAATAGGATTCAAGCCTTTGTGGTGAAGTTTGTTAGTATTTATGCCCAAAATTGAAACTTCCGTCAACTCTCCGTTAATTATTAGCATGTGAGCTACATATATTAGGCTAAAACGGAATTCTCCATCAATTGTTAGCATGTGGGGCTTACATATGAGGATAACTTTATTTTTTTAGTCTCTAATGTGAGCTTCATGTGCTAATAATTAACGGAGAGTTGACGAAATTTTTAATTTTGTGCCTAAATCTAAATAGACTTCACCACAGGGGCTTAAATCCTCATTTTTTTTTATCACAATAGCTATCTTCCAATTATCCTATCACCACATGGACTATATTGTTTTTAATTCAAGTTGTTAAGATTTATTGTGAGCCATTGGATCATAGTCCATGTGGTCTCTTAGATTAGATTTCATTGAGTCATAACTCATGACAAGTGTAATCATCTCAAAAGATGACTTAAGATTGAATGGCTATGATGATTTTATATGATCTGATAGAGTGAGAGAGTGTGATGCTCCTCCTCTAACGGTAATATATTCTTTGCACGCATTTGGTGTGAGGATGGTAATCCAATGAGAAAATTTCAGCTCTCATACTATCCTTCTTCTTTGCAATTGTTGCATCACTACAATTCTAAGAAAACATTCCTTTGAAGACCGCGCATCTGTTGAACGATAAGAACTTGGCCGATGTTAAGGATAGCAATGGTTGCAGCTGGTCAACCCAGTCTAGTGATAGTTCTACGAGATGGCTGAAAGTTACATGAAACCGGGTGTATACCTTCATCTCTATCATCACGAGAGGACGGAGATAGATAGATGAGGATATATTTCGTGTCTTTCCCGCAAGACTCTGCTACACACTCAAGAAGCACCACGGAATAACCACAGAATAAACATCAAAACAATGGCCTGAGCATGCTACTGAAGACCGCGCGGGTTAGGCAAACATGATCCCAGAGGCATAACCACAGAACAAACATCAAAACAATGGCCTAAGCATGCTAATACTTGTATGCCCTTGTCCAAACGGGTACACAATATATCAGGATTCCCAAACCAAACGAGGTGCATATCGTAGCCATGGTATATGCGTATGCTCTCCAAGGGTATTTGTTTTCTCTCATCTCGTTGAACTCAGCAATGAAGGTAGAAACAGTACTCAGGCAACCTAGAAATCCAAATTGTATGCCTGTTGCAACAATGTCGCAAGTCTTAGTATTCGCCTGCACAAACAAATACTTCTGCACGTCAGATTTTCTATTAAAAAGGAAAAAACCGTGGGCATGGATCAAGACAATGTATGACAAAGGTAATGCAGTTGGAAAAACATTGCAATAGAAAATAGTACAGTTCAAGAATTCCCCAAGAAGCTTTTAAAACCTTGACGAGAAAAAAAAATAACAATATTAGCAGTTTATAATATGACAAATATATGTGAACTGTAAGCTTGCTGGACACGAGACAATAACACGCGAAAGGTAATGGTGAGGATGAAGTCATGGAGTGGATGTGGACAGAGATCATATCATATGAGCTTACGACTTTTTTCACAGTAGATAGGGCCGCCATTACACAAGTTGCAGAAACATTGGCAATTAAAGTACCAAATGGAACCACCGGATCCACACACCAAAAGGTCCAACTATGCAACCCAACCATAGTTCCGCCTCGCCGCTGCTACTGTTAAATTCCTCTCTTAATTGTATTCCACCTATACTCCACAGAGAACTTAGCATCAGCAATAACACCGCTAAAGCTACCAAGTGACGCTTGTAGCTGTCAACCCTCCACCTCCTTCTAGAGCTGGTAATACCACAGACTTAGTTCCTCTCAAGAATCTGCCTAAAACCCTTTGCTGTCTCTACCCCAAAAATGAGGGAGTAGGCCGCAAGAAACAAACCTGACATCCGTCACATAAAAGAGGATCTCATATTAGTCTAGCGATTTGAGCTACATTGGGTTTGTGATTTACCCATGGATAAGTTTCGAATAGGCTCAAAGAAAGAAACCAGCCAGATTGAAATGAAATTTAAATATCCTGCTTGCCAAAGCGATCTACATGTCTACTGCAGCAATTCTTTAGAATATAACATCTTACCTATCAAAAAGCCGAGCAGAGCAAAAACCCAATGTCCTTCAACACTGAGCTGGTTCCAACCACTGAAGGTTGTAAGGCTTCCTAAGTAACCAGTTGATAATCCGATGACCAAATAATTGGACGCATAGGATATATCTCCTTTGAAAACAACACCAAACCACCCCATCAAGAAAGAGCCAACCTACAAAAACGCATTAGAAACAAAAATTTGAGTTTGAACATCATCCAGCATTTTCAGCATCACAACCCTTAAGAAATATGACATAAAAAAATTAAAAGATGACGGGAAAAAGTATGGAAAGAAAGGTCTTAAGAAACTTGATAATACTTCGGTGATCATTGTACTGTGTGCATCACAAGTCCCTCCTAATATTCATAAGTAACAGTTTTACAGAAAACATGTTTATTAACACAACATTACCGAATAAAGGGCATATACTTTGTGCGTGTGTGTTCGTGTGCATGAGAAGAGACAGAGACAGAGAGAGACAGAGAGACAGAGACCATATTAGAAGGAAGATCAAGGTAGAGAATGGTTTTGTCGCTTGTTACACCAACAACTCCCAGGCCAAACAATTTTTGCAGAAGATATTTCGTCAAGACCTGCATACTGTAGCATGTCAAATAATCTATTTACCACATAGGTTTCTAGATATGAAGAAAGATCTAAGATGTATTACAGTGACATATTCAATTTTTTCAAGACAAACAGAAATATGAACATGCCAGTGCATGATCAAACATTTTCGTGAACAAAACTTATATAATTTTAGAGTACAATAGACCGGATACAATTTGTCAGCATACCATTTACATAGATTTTTCACACAAAAAAAAAAAAGTTTAGCAAGAAAAAGTTCGCAATACAATTTGCCAAATGAAGGCAACAACAACCATAAACCCAACACATATTAGGACTCAAACAAAATGTATATCGGTATATAGTAAGAAACAGAGTTAACTGTGTTACCCCAAGAATGCCAAAAACTGCTAAATTAGTCATGCTTATATTCCAAGAATTTTGGCAACCTTGTTGTATTTTCCTGCATATGAAAACAAAATCTTTGAGTTACTAGCATGATTCGACAAAAAGAAAAGGAAAAAACCATGTTATTATCAATGAAAAAGAAAACCAAATCTTCTGTCCATGTTCAAGGATCTCTAGCAAAGCTTATATACAATATGAAAAGTATCAACTGAAAGCTTACTGGCTTTTTGTCCACGTATATGATTGATCAGTGGAAAGAGGAGATATGATTTCCTTTGGCAAGGGAGTGACAGGGTAAATTTTCGATGTAACAGGATCATGACCCCAGAATCCTTAGGATTGCAGTTCAACGTCCTCTGAAGGAAACAAGCAGATGCTGCCACTGTCACTATGCCTGTTGCTATGAAGAGCCTGATCGCCAATATCTCCCGCCTCTGAGACAGATTCACTTTCATTGTCATCATCTATTTGAGATGGCTAAACATGTGATAAACTTAAAGATCGCCTCCTTAATGAAGAAGTGGCACTGCTTGTTCTATCATTGGATACGCTTCATCGGGGTTCAGTGTCATTAGTCCCACGGTACCCTTCCTCCATAACCACAGCGCTTGATTCCAATGATAACAATAAAATCCAAATGTTGATTGAGAGAGCTAAAAATGAGAGGAACAAATGCAGTAGAGAAAATAATGCAATTACTGCTGCTACAAACGTTGAAATGCTATAGTTTGTGCTTTGGAATCAAGTCCTCCCAACCACTCAGTGTGTCAAAATAATCAAAAGATTTGTATACAAACAAACGACAACAACTCTTTCAGCTCTACTAAGGAAAGGTCAAGATCTTAAAAACATAAAAAAAAAATACATACGAAATATAATGACAACACTCCATACATAAGCTCTAGCAGCCGTGACATGAGGAAAAAGAAAGAAGACAAAACCAATTCGTCAAGATATCCACAAAATTCAACAATAATACAACCTATAGCTCTAAATAAATCCATTCAGATAATATTTATTACGTTACATATTAAGATTATAGAATCATGAATGGTGTCACTGATTCTTCTAAACAATTGGGAGAATGTATGCTTTATTTTTCTACTTGTTTTTCGTCAACAAAACAGTACAGTTGCACTGCAGAATTTTGTTTAACCACAGAGAAAAATAATTGCTCAACTTTTCTAGTGACACCACACGATTTAACAGCACCCAAAAATAGCAAATGCAAGGGCCTGCCAACTAAAGTAATTATAAAGTAAATTTCAGTACCAAACAAATCACAGAACGTCTTTCAAACCGATTTAAATCCAGCAAACCTAATAATCATTTTGACATATAATCAATCATTTCTCTTCAAACTTGTAATACCGAACCTTGTGATGTTAGTGTTTAGGACAGTTTTGAGCTAAATTTCGAGATGTAATCATAATCAAATCAATCAGTAATTGAGCTAAAATTGAGGATCAAGTTGCAGAGATGAGAATAACACTGAAATGGAGTTCATAGCTCCTCAAACCTTCATTGGATTCGATCCACAAAACTCAGCTATGACCTATGCATATAGCCGTTGCAAACCCATCAAAGCATAGCGACTATGATCACCTGCAACTCACATGTATTCACTTAACACATAACAAACTAGACATGTGACAAATTATACGCCATTAAGATATTATAATCCCAACCATTCATTTCAAAGTTATAACCTACACTCAATGTATTAAAAGCGTGAGGCATGGGTGAGGCGTCTGAGGGATAGCCTAGCCTAGGCATGAGGCAAAGCCTCACGGGACCTAAATTTTTTAATATATACACTTAGTGTACATATATATTACATTAAAAAAAGATTATTAATCAATAATCACCCTTAGCACACACATATATTATAAATACATACACACACACATATATATATAATAGAGGATGAAAAGCACAATGAGCCTACATATAACAATGCACGCAGACAGCACACACATCCATTATATAAAAAAAATAAAAATCAGAAGAAAAAAAAAGGCAAAGAGATGATAGTGCAAGAAAGAGGTATGAGGCAGTTAAAACCCTACCCAAAATTTGGGTTTGGGAGGAAAAAAAAAATCCCCTAAGGCACCCCTAGGCGGCGATGGCGACGGCTTCCGCCCACTCCTTCAAAACAGAGGCGGCAACCCTTAAGCCCAGCCTCACAGGGAGCCTAGGCACGCCCTGAGGTGAGCCTTTTAAAACATTGTCTACACTACAACCAAACACTTGATTAAAATTTGAACTTCTTCTTCTTCTTCTTCTTCAAAGCTGCATTAGTCGCTTGATCCAACTGCTATGCTTATGCTCCAATACTCACTTCTAAGCTGGTAGCTGGTTTGACTCCAAGTTTCTCTCTAAGCATACAAAATCTATCTTTGGGCAATGCCTTGGTGAAAATATCAGCAAGTTGATCCTCTAACTTGTAATAAATCAAGTTGATAATGTTTGACTATAAATCTTCTCTGATGTAATGGTATCTTCTTCCAATGTGCGTAGTTCTTTGATGGAAAATGAGAAAGCATACCTTGATGTGTTTTTCATATCAGTTTCATCTCCATTCCAATCACTGTCACAATAGTCTATTAGATTAGATTTCTTCCCTTTCTCATATTGAATCCCATAGTCTAATGTGCCCTGAATGTATCTTAGTACCCTTTTGGCAGCTCCCAAATGTTTCTTGGTTAAACCATGCATGAATCTAGCAAGTAAGCTAGCTACATACATGATATCAGGTCTTGTGGCAGTTAAATACAAACGACTCCTAACCAATTGCCTATACACATTCCCATCTGCTTTCTCACATTCATCATCCTTTTATAGTTTGTCACTAACCACCAATGGAGTACTCACAGGCTTGCAGTCTTTCAATCCAAACTTTCTCTCTGATTAATGAAGATTACATTCTCAGATTGTAGGATTCCCATTCCAAGAAAGTGATACAAAAGACCCAAATTTATCATTTCATATCTCTTCATCATGTCTTGTTTGAACTCATTCAGTAACTCAGTACTGCTGCCAGTGTAAATAATGTCATCTACATAGATTGAAACAATTATGCTCTCATTTTCTCCCTTTGTCTTAATGTACAAGGTTGGTTTACTTGGACTTCCAGTAAACCCATATTTGTGCAAGTGAATATCAATCTTTTCATACTAGGCTCTTGGAGCTTGCTTCAGCCCATACAAAGCCTTTTTAAGTTTATAAAAATTGTCTTCTGCACCCTGTACTACAAATCCCTCAGGTTAATCAATGTAAACTTCTTCCTGCAATACACCATTAAGGAAAACTGATTTCACATCAAGTTGAAATAGCTTCCACTTCTTCTGGGCTGCTAAAGTAATAAGATTTCTAATAGTGTCTAATCTTGCAACAGTAGCAAAAGTTTCATTAAAGTCAATGCCAGGTTTTTGTGTATAACCCTTGACAACTAGTCTTGCTTTATGCTTTTGAATTGTTCCATTTAAATTCAACTTAGTCTTATAGATCCATTTCACTCCAACAATAGGTTTGCCTGATGGCTTGTCAACCAATTCCTAAGTCTTGTTCTTCTTAATCATGTCAATTTCAACATCCGTAGCTATATCAGTGGTAGCATCATTAAAACTTTCAGGTTTAATCATGCTGACATTACATCTAGCATAAATCTCACTCAATGACCTTAACTGGTGTGGTTTTGACTAAGCTTGTCAATCACCACCATCAGTTTGAGTATCAGAGACCACCTGAGTTTGACTTTCATTCCCTTCTAGTTGAACATCTTCTCTCTGTGACATTTGATTCATCTTAGGTGCAATACACATCTTATCCTTTTCAGGTAGATTCAAATTTACTAGAAATGTTATCTTCTCAGCAGTTTCAACATTCCAGTTCCACACACTCTTTTCATCAAATAACACACTCCTTGAAAGGATGACCCTTATTTTCAAATTGTAGATCTTATAACCCTTCTCCATTTTTCCATAGCCAACAAAGATACCTTTCATAGAAGATTCATCAAGTTTCTGCCTCAACTGTCCAAGTATATAACCATAGTAGATGCACCCTAAGGTATATTCTCCACCACTGCCACTTATCAATTTTAGCATTCTATATCCACTTTGCAATTCAACCATTGCCTTGAATTTCTTGAACACCTCTGATTTGTGATTCAGAAGATAAACCCAACACATTTTAGTAGCATAATCAATGCAGAACAATTCATATCTTCCATGAGCAATGGAAAACACATGTTCCCAGTCATTTGTACATTAACAACATGACTCTCCAATTTTTTATCCTCAAAGATTACAACCTGATCATCACCAAACAATAGATAATAACCATGATGCATCATTTGACCTACACTTAGGAGGTTTATCCAGTCCTGGCACTAACATAACTTCTTTAATATACTTGACACCTCTCTTGGTTTCAATCACCAATGTTTCTTTTGCAATTGCCTGAACAAGCTGTCCATTTTCCATTTTGATTCTTGTTAAGACATTCTTATCCAAATTAATCAGCATAGACTCATGCACAGTCATGTGATTGCTACATCCACTGTCTATATACCAAACATGTTCACCTTTAACTATTGCAGCATAATTACAAGCAAAGAACATAGATGTCTCATACATTTGCCACAGTTGTGACATTTTGGTTTTCCCTTGAACCTGCAATCACAATAGTGCAAATTACCACAAATTTTACATGTCAACCTTGTGTTCTTGTTAACCCAGGGTTTTGAAACAAATTAAGGCATGTCATTGAACCCTTTTTATCTATAAACTTCCAAGGCTTCTTACCCTTATATCCAGTGGTCTATGATCCACCCTTGTTTTGGTTACTCAGGCTACTAAATGCCTTTTTATTCACTTCTTCATCTTCTGAGTGTCTCTTCAACCTTTGTTCAAATCCCTTTAGAGTTGTAACAATCTCATTTAGATCAATTTCATCTAATTTCTTTGTCCCCTCAATAAAAGATACAATATTTTCATAGGCAAGAGTTAGACTAATTAACAATTTCTCAACTAGTCTCTTATTTGGCAAAGCTTCACCAAACATTTTCATTTTATTCATAAGAGAAAATAATCTTGTCAAGTACTTAGAAAGAAATTCATTATTCCTCATCCTAGCATACTCAAAGTCACGACGAATACCTTGTAATTTCACAGCCATGACTTGAGCATCACCCTTGAATTCCTGCTTAAGAACATCCTAAGCATCTTTTGCAGTCTCCTAATTTGCGATTCTAGGGAAGATTTCATCATTCACAGCTCCTTGAATCAATCCCTAACATCTTTGGATCTCTGGAAATAAGATCTTGAGCTACAAGAAGTTGCTTCTCATCAGTCTCCTACCCTTCCTTTGACACCACAAATCCATTTTCCACAAAGCTCCACAGATTGTCCTGAAAGCGATTAGAAAGCGAACTAAGATTTTCAAGATTCAACTTTGATCCGGCAATTTGAAAATAATTTTCATTATGATACACCAAAATTCATAGTTAGCATCCATAAATGTTGGTGCTTGAAGATCAGTGCTAGATGTAGCCATCTTTGTGCGTCTGAGTTCTTCGTTGAAAACCCAGATTAACAATCACATATTTATTCCCATATTCAAATCTAACCAAGCTCTGAGGCCATATTAGTGTTTAAGATAGTTTTGAGCTAGATTTCAAGATGTAATCATAATCAAATCAATCAATAATTCAACTAAAATTGAAGATCAAGTTATAGAGATGAGAATCACACTAAAATGGAGTTCATAGCTCCTCAAAC